TTGTACTTAAAAGTAAATTATCTTTAAAATACCAAGATAAAAGAGTCATAAGGTTGTTATTTGGAAAATTAGTTTTGTGCAACAGTCCAAGAAGCCTATCATATGGGACATAGCGTTTTATGGTTTTGTCATGAATTGCTACATAAAATTAAGCTATTTAAATTTTGAGAAATGCTGAACTATGAGAGAATTAACATTTCACAATATTTATACATTGTTTTGAATGCTCTTGTTGTTTTAATTTTGAAATTACAATCTTAACCAAGAATTTTTTAATTGAGAAAAATATGAACATTTTAAAACTCTGTCTTAAGTAAATTTTGCTTTTATACCCACTAATAGGATTATGAAACAAATTATTCTGTGTAAAAGAATTACTTGAATGTAAAGAAATATATCTGTCAAAAATAAAGAAACATATCTGTCTTGCACAAAAATTCTTTTTATGGGGGGCAGAGTCTCACTATGGAGTCCAGGCTACTCACTATGCAGCTCAGATTGGCCTCAAACTCATGTTGATTCTTCTGCCTCAGCTCTCATGTGCTGGGATTACAAGTATGCACCACCAGGCTTGGCAAAATTCTTGCTCTTCATTAAATTAAGAAATAGTTTAGTTTGTAACCTTCTCTAAACAGCTTCTTTAAGTTTCCAATAATACATAATGAAGCCTATTTATTTTAGTTAGCTGTTTCTATCTTACCAAAGTTTGATTTCTTAATAAGAGAGAAAACATGGCACTACATTTTAAAAATGGTCTAGTTATCTCTCTCCTTCTTTCCTTTCTTTCCTCTTTTTTTAATATTACATACAAGGATAGAAGTATAAGTTTACTTTGTTCTATATGTTATGCATGATTGAAAGTTTGGGAGAATGAATTTATGTACAAAGAACAACAATGAAAGTGCAAAAATAAAACCTATGTTGTTTTCCCTATATTTAAATTAAAATTATTTTTATTCTGCTATTATTATTATAAAAGAAAAAATAGCCTAGGTGATCTTAAATATGGATCAGATGGTAGATGCATAGTAGTAGAAAGATTACTGGTATAATCAATCTGAAAAGTAACTTGGCAAACATATTAAGAACTGTGATTTAATTCTTCTCCAGGGATTTAATCCTAATAAATTATTTTTTAAAATTAAGATGTCAAATTGTTTAAATCATTCAATATAGCTTTATTACTTTTAAAATAATGAAAATCTAGATTTCTAATAATTAGGAACTGGCAAGGAATATAATGATAGGAGAACTGAATGGAATATTATACAAATACTAAAAATGGTAGTAACTTAATAATTTAGACTGGATAGAAAAATAAACTCTGCAATACTAAAAGCAGTATAATTTGGTTTTGCAGTAATATAAGGACTCAAAAGAAATTAAATTATATTGCAGTAGAATTATTGTGACTTTTCTTTTATATGTTATATCTATGCTATGAATAAAATTGGGGGTAGAAGAACACATTTTAGAAGAATAAGGGACTCTAAATCTAAGCAGAAACAATGTTAGGTGGCAAATCAGTACCTTATCATCTTATCTCTACCAACACATTGGTTTGTGCCTTGCACAAGTCACTTTTAGTTTTTTGAAATTAAATTTTCCCTAACTGCAAAAGAGAGTTAATTTTCTCAACTCCTTTTGGGTTTCCTTTGAATCTTTGATCTTAATTTGTCTATTTAAAGGGGTTTTGATCATTTACATCTGTAAGCTCCTTTTAAATCTTTGAACACATCATCCCAAACCAGAAGAATAAATACCTTTATCTTCTCAATGTCAGTAAGATACCAGCATAAGCAAAATGGCAGACTGATTACCTCTAAGTTCTCTTCATTGCTCAAAAATGAGCAGAAGTGATCACAACTGACTCTGTCAGGACTCCTAAAAATAGAGTAACAGCAAGTAAGCCAAAGTTGCTGAGTTAAGAGAAAGAGAAGTCTAAAAAGGTGTGCACATTGGGGAATTTAGCAAAACATATTTCCATTAAAGAAAGAACTAAAAAGACTCTACACTTTCATCCCTGGCTAGTATCTAAGCTTAGTACAAGCAGGCAAGGAAAGGCTAAGGCAAAGTTGTAAGCAGCAATTCGTGCATGTTGCAGGAGAACCCCAACACAGAGTTCCTGGGTATTTATCATTCATAGGTTCTGAGAGGTACAGCGAGAACCAAACAAAATATTTTGCCTAGAAAGTGCGGTTACAAGGCAACCTATATGGGCAACTTCTAGCTTTCTTATCAGGTACCAAATGATGAACCAAAGGGCAAATTTTTGCATCAAAATACAAGTAGTTTCAAAGCAGTCAAGTACCAAGGTATGACATTCATTTGTTTGTTCTTTGCTCTGACACTCTCTTGTCAATATAGTAGTTGAATACAAGCTAAAGGAACATTGGTTTCATGACTACAGTCTTCCCAAGTAGAATTTACAAAAGTTATTGAATAGTGGATGATATTAGCTTTCAGCAATAAAAGATGCTAGGATTTGGGAAAAGGGTAATTTCCAGAGTTCTTAAAAGTCAAATATTAAGATTTCAACAAAGATTTTAAGACATTCAAAGAAACATTAAATTCAGCTAGTAAACTTACTAGACAACGATTTTATTTGTCAACTGTCTTAAACATGCTCAAACAGCTAAACAAAGTCACGAGGCAAAAAACAAAAGGAAATTTGTAAAATGACATGAAAATAAAATGAGAATATCAACAAAGAGAAATTATGAAAAGTCACCAAACAGAAAATCTGGAGCTGAAAAGTACAATAACTGGAATGGGATTTTAACTAGGGAGGTTCAATACATTTGAACAGGCAGAAGGTGGTATTGGTGAATTTAAAAACAAGATTATTGGAACTATGCAAGTCCAAAGTGTAGAATGAAAAAGAAAAAGATAAAGAGGGCTTTTCTCCTGTGCATGGCATGGAGTCTAATCCCTGCTGCTGTACCCTGCTGGCTGTGATGACCTCCTTCCCCTACTTTCTTCAAATACTCTTCTGTGGGCATTGATTTAACTACATTTGTCCTAGCACAGAGCCTACTTTTCTGACTATTCTTAACCAGTTGTTCTGGGAGCTCTAACTCAGTTGAAGTGTCTTTAGTTCTAGGCTGTCTTTTCTCTATATGTTCTACAGTAAAAATCTCTCTCCTTCAGTGACTTAAACTTCCATTGAGAGGTACACAGTGCATAAGTCCTTATTTACAGCTATCTCTTAAGCTTTGAACAAATATTTCTAAATGGGACATGTCTCCTGGACACTTTAATATATCAACCAATAACTTTGGCAAAATAATCTTCTCCACAAACATGTTTTTCCTTTTACATGTATGATAATGTACTGATATTTATTGAACAAATAATTTCAGTCCAGAGATCATCGTAGGTACAAGGATTACAGCAATGAACAAAATTCTCATGGACCTGAACTCACATACGGTACTTACCATCCTGTGAGGAACACAAACATTAAACAGGTAATAACACACAAACTGTAAAATGGTAACTGCGATAAAAGGCTGAAAAAGGGCAGGAATCACTCCCTGTGCACCCGTGGAGGCGGCCCTGCTGGCTGCCAGGGAGAAACACATTGCTATACTGCTTTAAAAAACACATAGAGCTTCATATTGTTATATCAGGGATTGAGTGATAAAAGGATCTGGGATTTAATTCAGGGTAGAGAAGAGGGGAAGGAGTGGAGGTACAGAGAACAGGAAACTGGCCATTAGTACAGAACTGCTGAAACTGGATCATGGGTACACGGGCTCATTACAGTATTGTTTACTTTTGAAAGTATTTAAAATTTTTCATAGCAATTTTTGAAAAAATACAGAACCACCACAGACTTTTTATGAAAAAAGCTATATCATTCTGTTTATAGCACTGCTGGCGGGGAATGATTTTTGATCCCTTGTTACTCCCTCAGTTACATGTATGCATTTAATTAATGCCAGGTACAGTGCACGCCTCCTTTTGCCTAATTCTGAAACTGTAGCCTGTGTTGTTTATAAATCACACAAAAAATATAAATTTGACCGGACCAGCACTTCCTCAACCTACCTTGTTTGTTCTCAATTCAGCATTCATGCAAACTGTTTCCTTTGCCTCAAATACCAGCCTCCCCAATACTCACACATCTTTTAGATGCCACTTCAAAGGTATTTTCTCAAGGTGGCTTTCCCATAACACCTAGGCTAGGTGACATCCCATATGTCACCTTCACAACAATTTTTCATAACTAGAAATTTTATAATTATTGAAATTAATTAATTCCTATTTTTCCTGCTATAATGCAGTCTTAAAGAGAAAAGGACACGGATCCAAAGCCTAGCATTTTGTCCTTGTAAAAAGGTCAATAATTCTTTATTAAACTATAAATGAGTGGCTTGGTGAATGAATCGGTAAATGATTTTGATTGCAATCGTGAAACAGAATTACTGGCACAATAATATTATACAATCTTAACAGTGTCAACCAGACTTCTTGTCAAAAAGATTTACAAAGCTTCAATACATATGTACACAAACAAAAAGAGAAAAAATAAATGAGGATGGCTTCATTGTAAATCCAGGTTACAGTCCCTCACTGATATCACCAAAGTACTTAACAATAAAGGAATTGCGATGTATCTTGACATATCATCCACCTTTCAAAGGAGGCACAAGTAGATCCAGATAAAAGTATTTCTGATACATGTCCCAACTATGCCATTCAGATAGAAAACTGAGATTCTTTAGAAGAGTAATAAAGACAATGTACCTAAACATTTTACATTTATATATGCAATTATTTAAAATTGGCTATAGCAGGACAGTATACAGTCTCTTAGCCAGAAAACAGACAAATTTAGTTAACCATTATTTTAAAGATCAGATCTCTACAACTTTCTAAATTTGGAGGGAGCAGTCAGGAATCAAACTTAGGACCTTGCCAGGTGGGCGCTTATGCCACTGAGCTGTATCTCTGGCCCATCACAACTTTCTAAATTAATGAGAAAAACTACTAACTCCAAAACCAAAATTTTATTTCAAATCATTGGATTTTCAGTGCATATAAAAGTTTTCATTATACATAACATATAAGCATGTTAGTACACTGAACTACATTAGAAAATAGATACAGCTTTAGAAATCACCAGAATGCTTGTTTTCCTGTGTATGAATGCATTTTGCCTGGGTATTTTATGTTATTACTATTTCTTTTTAACCTCAGAACCTCACGCTTGCCGGGCAGGCTCTGTGCCACTGAGTTATATCCCCGGCCCTTCACCTTATTTCTTAGTAACCTCCTATTTAGGCTTTGAGTGTCATCTTGACCTACACATAATATGTTTTGCAATGTATTCAATACTATGGTTGCCTTTTCTCTCATGTCTGGTGGAATATAGTCAATATCTAAATACTTTGATAACTTAGATCTAGACTTATACAGCATGTCGATAACAGTTTTGATGCCGTAGAGCCCCTTTCTGGTTGGTCCTTCTGGAAAGACGTGGGATTCGTACATTTTTTCCAGGGTGTGCTCTGCTGCGGCTGCCAGAGCGAGACTTCGCTTCAGGCTCTCCTTGGAGCCCTCAATGATCTCTTGATACTCTGGATCATTGCTGTCACCCAGCGGTGCCTGTTGCAGCTGGAAGTGGATATCTGAGATTTTCCTTAAAATGTCATCATTGTTCATGATCTGGGAATGATGATGAACTGGCTCTTCAAAGTTTTCACCGGAGAGCTGGGGAACGTCTTCCCACTCCGTGGACCACTCCGAGTCTGTGTTTGCATGTGTGGAGGTGTCGGGAGGGCTGGTGGAGGACCTGGTGGTGGACCTCATGGCCTGGGTGTGTTCCACCTCCTGCTCTGGCTCCGGCTCCGGCTTTGGCTCTGGCTCCAGCTCTGGCTCTGGCTCTGGCTCGCTTTCCACATAAGGTTCTTTGGTGCGCAAGACGATGGAGACATTGTTGGGTTTGATGGACCAGAAGGCTGTGGTCTCAGGGGCTGTGGGGCTCTGAGGAGGTACCCTGCTCCCAGGAGGTATCCTGCTGTCTGAGCCCAGTGTGGAGCCTGTGCCAGGGAACACTGAGCTGTACCCGCTGGTGGGGGTGCCATCCTCAATGGCCGCGTTTCCCAGGGTGCTGAGTGCCTTCAGTCTTGACACGGCCGGATCTGGAGAATAGACATGTTTTGGAGACTTTGATGCTTTCTCCTGGGCTGACTGTCTTGTGGGGACGCTCAGTATTAGGTTCTCTAACACTTGCACATAATGATTCAAGTTTTTTTCTTCACTGGGTGACACAGTTAACCCTTGGGGGCGGGAATCAAACACATAATAAGTAGCATTTACTATTCTATGTGACACAACAACAGAATCTACTAACCTAAATCTGTTTCTTATTTACTGAAAAGTGGAAATAAAGAAGCGAGGAGCAAAGCATTTTTGAGGCAGGGCCGACTCTCACTTAAAATGAGCAAAATTATGTTTTCAGGTTCTTAATAAAATGAATGAGTCAGACTGGTGCAAAAGAGGCATCGCTTGACATCTTTTTAACTTGTTTTTTCATGTAAGGTAGGATTCAATGGGAACCCCGGCCCTTGATTGTGTCCACTAACTCAGTTTGCTAGAACAGGCTCCTACTGGCTCAGGAGTGCAACTGTTCCGTTTTTAGGAATGTTGCCAGCCAGATGTTAAGATACCAACATCACTAGAAATTAAGTATCTTAACCTTCCAATTAAAACAAAGGTTAATTGAAAACACAAGCAAATAGAATACTTAAGTGCCTACTAGGGAAGCTGGAAAGTCAAAAGGGAGGGAAAGGGGGTACTTACTACTAGGTGACTCCTGAAAAAAGTCTTGAAGTACCCATTATCCCCTTCTACTGTTACTCAGGCAACGCCAAAACCCTGTTCACAGCTGCCTAGCAACCAAGCACCCTGCCTCCTACCTTGCTTTTCTTCCTTCCTTAATGTATACTGTTCTATTCTTAAATCCATCCTCTCTCCACACATTCCCCACCCCCTGCTTCTGACCTCCCTTTAAGCATCTACATATTTTATAAAAGGATCTTCTCAGCTCTGCACTAATCAGGACTCTTCTCCATAAAAAGCTGCCAGCAAGGTAGTAAAAGGCAGTTAGCCTCAAATATCCTCCCTGATGACTCTGGCCACTGAACAAACCTGTTTTTCTCCATTTTTCATGAGACGCCTGAAAGTTGAACAAAATTCAAGTTCTTACAGAGAATACACTGGCCTGACTAGAAGCTGAGTTATTATACCTTGAATGCTTGTGGTCTATGCCGGTATAATATCTCCTCTACTTTTACCAAGCAAACAGAAATGTCCCAGAATGTGGCTTAGGTAAGAATCTGCTCCAGCCTCTGACATGGATGTGTGACTCCTGTGGTCTCTCAGGCAGGATGCTATCTCTTAAGTTGATCCAAGGCTTCGCTGGAATCTCAGATTTGGGAGCTATGGGCGAGCTGAGCTACCTGCACTTCCTGTTACAGTGGAAGGAGAACTGGCCATGTGATGCAAATAACAGGAAAGGAAAGGAAATGGTACTAACAACTGTAGAAACAAAAATAGCAAGAACTCTGAAGAGGAAGTTGGAAGATAGTGATTGATAGCTCTAACTCACGGAGTGATTAGTAGGTACAGGCACTATATTTAAGGGCCTGGAATGTGAAGAGTGTTTTGGTGAAGAGAAAAAAGAAGATACTTGGTAAGGACAAGTAATTTGTCTTAAATTCAATTTGTAAGCCGGACGGCTGGGGTTTGAACACAGCCTGCCTGCAAAGCAGGTGTGCATAAGGGGTACAAGAATGTCATGAAGAAATGCCACAGGGCTGCTGGCAAAGAGTAAGGGTGTGGTGAGGAGAAACATCCTTGCAGGAACACAATTCTTATTTTAAAATATACGTGAATATTAAGTGTTGGAGGACTCCCTGGATGGCTCTCCTTGAGTAAAGAGGAATTATCTCCATTTTGGCTAAAACTGGCTCTGTCTCCATGTACTGATATGTACAGAGCTGGCTAAGCTATTTCCTTCTCCCTGCAATTGGCTCTAAGCAATGTAAGTAGGGCTGGCTGAGGTGCTGATCCTTAATCTTTGAAATGACAGTCACTGTTTCCCTGCCCCGTGATTCCAAAAAACATGATTGAGTCGGACAGGATGAAGAGCCACAGCTCCAGCTGTCAACTGGGATCTAGCCTTGAGATAAGAGGCTATGACTTCCCAGGGCAGAGAAGTTTACATGTCAGAGCTGAAGAACCTGACCCCAAAATATTAGATGCTACCTCTATTGTGTTATGCAGGCTACTCTTTCTGCATAACCTCCCCCCTGCTATTGTAGAGGTGATTTCAGGCCTCCTATCTAGCCCAGCTCATAGCATCCACATATTTCCCACCATTCTCGCAGTCACTCATCTGCTATCCATTCCCTTCTTCACAAATAAAACCCAGGTTGGGCCCTGGGGTCATGGCCTTTGTTCCAGTGAACCACCATCTTGGCTAGACTTAGGACCCCTTTGGCTCCCCATAACTATAAATATGTCTTACTGTCTTTATTGTTGCTGTGGGTTGCACTGGAACTCGCAGATCAGAATTAACTTATTGGTGTTCCAATAACTTTTCCTTGGGATTACAAACATAAACTCCCCAGACCAAGATAAGGTCAGGGAAAGGATCTCTATAATTAAGTAAAATAAAATAAATAAAACATGCAAAATTCTGCCCAGTGCCAACTGGACTATTATATTTAAAAATACATATATGGGGCTGGGGATTTAGCTCAGCGGCATAAGCGCCTGCTTTGCAAGCAGGCAGTCGTGAGTTCGATCCCAGGTACCGATAAAAACAAAAAACAAAACAAAAACAAAATAAAAATACATATGCACATTAAGATAAAATTTTAAAACAATACAAAATTTTGCTCTACTATAAAAAATTCATACCTTCCATATGTTAAGATATATCTAGGAATACTGATGACAATCTAAATACAGTGTTTTCTTACTTCAAAGCATAAGTGGGAACTGAGTCAGGTAAAAATAAGTTAACTACTCTTAAATTTATCATGAGAAAAACAGGAATCAGGAGAAAAGTCAGTGTCTCCCAAGAATTGGCCACGCTGGGATTGGGAGGACCTACCAAGAAGCCAACAAGTCAGCCTTTCTGGTAAACCACACAAGACATGCAGGTTCGAGGAAGAGAGAAGTCAAGATAGTGCCTCCTGAGAGTAACATTCCCCCATCCAGCAACCAGCTGGTTCCAAGGACAGGCTGAGTTGATAGCAACTAAGGTACATAAAGCAACTAAATGCTTGTATTGTTTGGTTGATTTTGCAAGCCTGGGGCCGGCTTTCTGAGCATCTCTTGGGAGGATGACAGCATGCAATTTAGCGAGTATGGGGGATTTCTTTCTATCTTGTCTTTGAAGCCCAATGTAGTTCTCACTGTTTTGCTTTGTTCTGATTAATCATTTTGCTCTACTCAATATTCTGTTTTGATTGGTTTTAGTCTGTTTTATTTTTGGCTTTATACCTGATGGAATGACAATAGTTATTGTGAAGATAACAAGATATACTATGGTAGCTATTGTTGTTTTCCTAGTATCCTGCCTTGAAATTCTGTACCAATTTTGCTGCTTTGTTTCGACTGGCTTTCTCTCTTTTGTTTCGTTGAATTTTACTGTCTTTAAAATAAACAAAACAAAACAAAACAAACAGGAACCAAAGTTTTTTTGTGGATAAACCCAGTTTCCTATGTATCATAAATTTTTAGTCATTCAAATTTGTTATATATTTAAATATTTGCATACATTATGTTTGCATTATGCTTCTAAACTAGGCTAGAAATATTTTGTTTTTTGGTTTGGCTACACAGGGTGTTAACTATAGTTCTGCTGTATGCTTATGACTTGTGTGAATATTAAAATGTCATGCTGGCAGGCATAACGGCACATCCCTATAATCCCAATAATTGAGAGGCTGAGGTAAGAGGATTGTCAGGAATTTTGGGCCAACTTTGACTACATAGTGAGTTCAAGGCCAGGCTGAACTACTTAGCAAGAGCCTGTCTGGAAAAAACATGTCATGCTTATAACTCTGTTTTGTATTGTATTTACTGGACAGTACCACCTACATTTAAGAAATTATTTTTAAAGAATAGAAGTTTAGGGCTGGGGATTTAGCTCAGTGGCACAAGCGCCTGCCTTGCAAGCAGGCAGTCATGAGTTCAATCCCTAGTACCGATAAAAAAAAAAAAAAGAACAGAAGTTTAATTGGGCAAGAGGTGGCACATGCCTGTCATTCCAGCACGTTGGGAGGCTGAGGCAGAAGATTGCAAGCTGTAACCCAGTCTGGGCAACTCAGTAAGTTAGCAAGATCCTGGCTCATAATTAAAAACTTTTTGAAAGTGCTAGGATTATTTCCAAAAGATGAAAAATATTTTCAAAAGATGAGAAGTATAAAATAAAAAGCGGCCTTTATTCTGAGAACACGGAGAGAGATGACCGGCACCCCCACCGCTGGCGTCCGGCGATCTCTCCGGTGGACACATGGCATGGGGGCATGTAAATAGCTTCAGTTTGGGGTAGAACCTAAGGCGGGCATTAGGGATGCACAGGTAACCCATTGGTTCTAGGTTTGGCGCCATATGTAAATTTCCAGGGGCGGGAAGATGGCGTCACAGGTAACTTCCTAGGGGCAGGGGAAATAGGGGCTTCCTGCTTCCGGTTGTGGCTTTCCTGGCTACAGTGTCCTGTCTGGGCCAAAACCCTTTCATATCCAGTCTTATGATTATTATTATGAAAAGGGGCGAAGATTTCTCTCTTTAACTACTTCCTGCTGGCAGAGGGCACTGTACTGTAGCCTAGGGGAGTTGATGGGATGAAGGTTGATGCCCAGGTAGATGCTGGTGCCAGGTGTTTTGGCCAGGACAACTTCACTGGTGAATGTACGTATGTTAGACTGGAAAAACAAAGAGACAAGATGTTATGAGGAGACATGGCACTGTCATATTTAAGGAACCAGGTGAGGTAGAGGGAAAGGTGCCTTTGATTTAGACATGTTCCACGGTAAGGCAGAATTCTGAAAATTAAATGTGGGGTTAGGAGAAATGATGTTATGAGAGGTGATTATTCCCCCATCTGAAAGCATAAAAGTTAAGAGGGTAGGTGTATAAAACTTATCTCTTGTCCAGGAGTTGAACTGGAAGAAACAGGGGGAGCAGGGAAGGCGATGGCTGTCCCAGTATAGGGAAGGTAAGGTAAGGCTTTCAGGGATGTCACGTTTAACCAGACAGCTGA